TAACGACTAGTGCGTTATAAACACGTTTTACTACAGTCTATTTGAATACACAGACTTATATCAAAACGTCTAAACACTCCTGTAAATTAGAAACTTAGCCTACCAGATATAACGTACAAGTTTTAATGATGTGGTAAATACATTTTAAGCAAATTCTGTTATATATAGAGTACGTACTCTTATAAAAATGTCAAAATTATATACATATTGATCTTTTTTCGTATTTTCACTTTTAACGTACACTTGGTTTAACGTACATGTGTTCGGTCCACCTGATTTAACGTACAAGTTATAATAATAACGAGTAGTACGTTATAAACGCGCTTTATTACAGTGTATTTGAGTATACTGTTTTCACTGTTAACGTACACTTGGTTTAACGTACATATGTTTGGTCCGCTTGATTTAATGTACGTTACAATAATAAAATTAAACGCTCCTGTAATTTACGAACTTGGCCAACCAGATAAAACGTACAAGTTTTAACGATGTAGTAAATACATTTGAAGCAAATTGTGTTGTATATAGTGTAGGTAATTTTTTTTTTAAGAAAGCCAAAAAGTGTCAGTCAAATTGATATTTTTTCATATTTTCACTGTTAACGTACACTTGGTTTAACGTACATGTGTTCGGTCCATCTGATTTAACGTACAAGTTATAATAATAACAAGCAGTACGTTATAAACGCGTTTTGCTACAGTGTAATTGAATATACAGACTTATATTCATATCAAAACGTGTAAACACTCAGGTCAATTAGGGCCTACCAGATATAACGTCAACATTGTGTGTGTAATCTTATAAAAAACTTAAAAAGTGTCAATCAAATAGATATATTTTCATATTTCCACTATTAACTGGTTTAACCTACAGATGTTTGGTCCACCTGAAGATTATTAAATGTAGGTCTCAGTATTTCCGAGTCTGAATAGTGACACCCTGTATATTATCGATTTTATTAAAAACATGAATTTGTAAATGTACGTAAATTTGTACATTCAGTTAAAACTGTATTCTGAGGACTCCATTAGTGACACTGTATATGTGAACTGAAGACTAGATATGTAACATCTAATGTAAGTGGATAGAATTACACCTATTGACATGACTATATATGAACCGCCGTTCTCAAATCATGTTCGTCAAGAGCCCGGAATGTATGTAATACATATCGCTATAGTTTCGATGTATCCATTAAATGTGATATGTTAATTTGCTACAAGAGCAAACGTAGCAGAACGACAAGAAAGGGAATTTATCCTTTGGGAAGTTAAGTAAAGTGTAGTTTTGGAAATAACAATAAAACTGCACCATGTATTAAAATTCCGTCGTTTTTGCGAATGAATTTTCAGCCCATTTAATTTGGTTTATGTATTGTAACAATACGGTAATAGGAAAAGGGTGTGCATTCCGTAAAGGCTATATGTACCCAAACAAGAAAAAGGGAACACACTTCAGCTCGATAGCAGTTAAAAACGTATTTAAATATCCATCTCAAGAAATAACAATCGTAGAGAAAAGCAATTTAATTCTATCTAATACAAGTACTTGTTGCAAACTGCAGATCGTAAAATTATCCAATTCAGTGGCGTCCTAATAGCTGAATGACGTGTAACGGCGCCGAATAAAATTTTATTGTCACTAAAACTGTGCTGGCTTTGCTCTTTTACGCCAATTAACAAAATACGTCCTAAATATTGGACAATAAAGGTTTTTCTATGAACATACCCTACAAAATCCATTCTGAGAAAAAAATCGAATTGTTATAAGACTTTTTACTTTTAAAAAACTTGTATTTTATTCGTTCTTGACTTACGTACCAGGAAGGGCGGAAAAATTTAGGTACAAAGTATTGAAAAAAAAATCAAACAGTAACACAACACCAGTAAAACAACTGTAGAACACAACAACAGCACGTACAACAGCATTACAACTGCTGTGTACAGTACCTTTTCTCTTGAAGCATAGGTAAGGAGCATCGGCTTCTTGTACCTACGAAAATTGCGCAAACAAAGCTTGACAGATCGCAAGTGTTTGAGCAAAAATACAAAATTTTATTATTTTTAATTTTTATTAAATACTCGACTATGATATTTCCATTTTTACTTTTGAAAAATCTCCGAGAAAGATACTCCTCGTCCTCTGTCAACATTGTGGAGGATAGAGGTTCAAAGCAGCACCTACGTTAAATCACTACCTTGTTGTCCAGGACCGTATTAATAACTATTTTTTCATTGCATAATTGAAGTTTATTTTCTCCCGAAAACGAGAAAGTATAACTTTTTGATTGCAGATGTTCACGAGAACTGTATTTGAATTTTTATTTACTGCAAGTGCCACGCCTTGAATACAAAAAAAATGTTTTTCGGAGAAACGAAGACTTTAATAACATTCATAAAAATATTATAAATTTTTAATACTGCATCTCGACATACATCATCGTTATCCCTTTTATGACATTCTCTAACAATACTTCAACGTATATCCAGACAAATATGGCATATGTGTTTAAGGAACAACGGATAACGGATCCAGCCAGAAACTAGTTCCATTATAAGGAAAGCTGCATTTTATTGCTTTTTTACTATTCCCAAACAGATTACTAAATGATTCTCAGCTGCTTACACCTAAATGAGAATTCATGGAATAAATAATGATACATGTGGCTTCCCAATACCTATAAAAATGATTAATGGGACTTATTTTCCACAGCAGATTGTGTCTATTGAATTTTTCTATTAAACTATTGAAGTAATATGTTATCCTTAAGTCTGCATTTCCACCAGACATCCATCTTAAAATTACAAATCGCTTTCCAACTTTTTCCACCCATGGTTCAAAACAAATCCATTATTTCCAGCAAAAATAGATATAACGAAAATCTGCGCCCTTGTTATCCCAGCAAAACTTAATGTTATCGACGTTTCTATAAGTGGGATTATATAGTGTTATTCTCGGCAAAGAAAAAGTAGCGCATAATCCGCAACTTCGACAAACTACATCGTCCGACCAGTGATTTGAAATGAAATATTTTTGCATAACAAACAAAATCGAACGTTATTGGACGCAGATGATAGGATTGAGTCAGTAAAGTATACAGGGTATTCCATTCGAAGTCTTCTATACAGGGTTCAGATAGAACATGAAAAAAATAAGATGACAAGTTCCTATAAAATTTGTTCGTACAGGCCCTCCCTACGGAGATATGTGTCCCTGAATAACTTTTAAAGTACTTAATATAATTTAATAAAAATTGTATATGGTGGACACTAGTAATGACCTCTTAAAATAGTGTCCTTGAAACATATTTAGCTTTTTTAGTTTACAAGGAGCGGGCTAAGTTTTACAACTTAATGCCTAAATTTTTAACACCCTGTATGATAAAGACTTTAAAATAATAAATCTGGGTAGCTTCAACCTTAGACTAAAAAAAGATACTCTTGTTTATAGTCGATAAAATGAACCGTTTATGAGAAAAATAAACGAATCCATGTTTTATTTTTAATAAAAAGGGCCATGATTTCGATTTTTGTTTTCTCGACAACAAAATGCGATACGAAAGTCATTCAAACATCAGGAAAGTTTCATTTGAAGATGTTTAATCCGAAAAATACAAAATTAAAAAACGTAGCACGACTAGGGTTTCTGATTTCTCGGCCTACTTTTTTTCTCGGGGCTCGAGAATTCTCGACTAGGAATTCCCGGGAATTCTCGAATTCTCGAGAAATTTCGAAAACTTAAAAAAGTCACAATTTTGGTATTGCAATGCGAAATATAAACATGCTATTATAATTAACAATCATTTATTATTATTTATTCAATATTTTTATTAATTACTTATGTTTCTACTTCTACTAACAAAACTAAATTAAACTTTGAGTTTCTTCTTAAAAACCTTTAACTTGTTTTTTTATTAATCACTTTCAATATACTTAGATATGTTTATTTCAATGTTTTTGAATCGTAGCTTTCTTCCAATAATAATTATTAATAATCATTAATCATGCAGTCTTTTAATTAAATAAATAGTAAATAAGGAATTTAACCGAAGAAATCTTAAAAAAAAACAAGCTTTAATTTAGAGATACAGAAGCGTTATTCCTATTAATTTATCACTTATAATCACAAGCTTTTAATTAACAAAACAAAAATAAAATAATCAACTAAAGGAACAGGAACTAAATATTTTCAGAATCAACATCAACATTAGGTATCTGCTTATAATAAAATTTCTACACAGACTTATAACTAGGTACATTAAAAAAATAAGAATCATCAAAGTAAACTAAAGCCTTAAAAACTTAAAATAAATAAATCATGAGCTAGTCGAGAAACCACATTAACCGCTCAGTTATTTGTCGAGAAACGAATTGAACGCATGAACGAAACGAACTCTAGTCAAGAACTTAAGACGCGCGTGATTTTTAAATTTCTCGATTTCTCGACACTTTTTTCTCGCTTGCGTGCTTTTTTGTAGTGTATTTTTGTAAATCTGTGAGAACTGCGACATTGTTATAAAACCGCCCTTTGAAAAAGCAACAAATAATTCCCCGTTTGATTAATGCAGGCGAAAAGCATAAATTTGCAGCGCATTGTTCCCGCGTATTTGTCCAACATGTATAATTTCAGTTTGTTTAACCAAGAGCACGTTTCGGCTTTTAGCCAAAGTTCAACAAATAATAAAATGTTGTCGCTCTAAAGCCACCGCTGGAAACATTGCGTAAAAAAATATATAAACGAACCGAAATTGTTTATCTTCCATTTTCCTTATTAAAACCTGCACCGTCACGTAAACGCCCGGCAATTGTGTTCGAACTGGTGTTTTCGTTTGTTTCGATTTATTTTCGGATGTTTTTAAATCATCAATTCGCAAGCAGGAGCAACAAGCAAACGCTGTAACGTGTATTTTTTTTAATTCCCGACAACGGTTAATTAAAAATGTAATTCGAATTCGCCCGCAAGGGTTGCTTCCTTTTTTCTTATTCACGTCGTTGTTTCAGGAAGCTGAAAGTGCGATCGCCGCAATGAACGGACAGTGGCTTGGAAGCCGGAGCATTCGAACGAACTGGGCAACTAGGAAACCACCGGCTCCAAAAAACGAAGGTAAAACCACATTTTAAACAGTCTCTTTTTAGGTATTTATACGACAAACGTTTCACACTTTTTTCAGGACTGGAATTTTGTCTCATGGAAAAAGGCACAACGCGCGAGCTGTATACAATATTTTTTCCGCTAAAATATGTTTTAAATTAAATTGTAAACAATATATTGTATACACTAATACTCGAAATATTCCAATTAAATGGGCCTTTAAATCGCAATTTTGATCAACTTTCCTGAAATAAAATAAAGCGTTTTTTCAAGATAACTCAAAAGGGGTAAAAACTAGAAAAAAAGCTTCTTATAAAAGTTGCAGAACAGACAATTTTACATAAAAACGATCTATTGACTTTTTCTTCTACTATTAAAATTAGCAGAATTTAAGGGACTATATGAGAAATTTTTAAAAATCATAAGAAAAATGAATGGGTATCTAAATTTTTTTTTCAATCTACTCTAAAAAATATAAAGCTTCTTTCCAGAGAAATAGATATTTTTTTATATTTAATAAAAAAGTTGTCAAATTGTCAAATTTAATGACACACACAACACAAAAACTTTTTTTTATAACATTCAATTCATTATTAAAAAAAATTAAAAGCTGCTTTCAGTATTTTAATGGTAGAAAAAAGTCAATAGATCACTTTTATGTAAAATTGTATGCTCTACAACTTTCAGAAGAAATTTTTTTCTAGCTCTTACCCTTTTGAGATATCATGAAAAAACGCTTTATTTTAATTTTTTACTGTAGAGCTTTTTGGAATTTTATCACTCAATCTTTTATGCCAGTGAAGCTGCAGGAAAAATAGTATAAATATTTTAAACCTTTAACACCCTGTATCTCCGTAGGGAAGCGTCTTATCGAACATTTTTATAGGGCAAAACTTGATTATTTTCGTAGGTAGAATACGCCATTAAAGTTTGACAAAACTTATTAACACCCTGTATATGTACTTCAAACTAACTTATTATCAAAAATTCACGCAAGTTGACCAAAATTGTGATTTAAAGGCAGGACTAAAATGAAGGCAGCTACTAACTATTTTCCTGCATTTATTAGCAATTAGTGGTATTTTTTCCATACGTTCATTTGAATCAATTTTTATGTAATTATCCAATGATTAAAAAAATAGGTCGTGATCCCTAAAATATATTCGCATAAATATTTTACCGATTGCATTACTGAGTGGCAAAAACTTGATGTGTTTTAAATTGCATCAAATTTAAGGAATTATAATTAACGACTAAATAATTATAGTGCGTGTCTTTCTATTAAGACATTATTTAGAAAAAAAAACATATACCTTATTCATAAACCATATAGCTGTCAACAAAACACTTCACCAGTTTTGTAAAAGGTGACCAGTTTCGTTATACAGGGTGTTTCAGAAACAGTTAGTATCCAAAGAAATACAGGACGTAGTATAAAAGGTGTGACTTAAACTTGAATCATGTCCATAGCACAATTTTGTAAGTCATAATCTGTAACTTATGAGTTATTTTGTGAACAGTTCTCGTAGCTTTCAAACTGGAGATTACAGTCAAAAGTAGAAATGTTCCTCGTTAAAATTCAAAACTTCAACAGTAACAAGTGCATATAATAAGCCTGTTATTTGCATTTGGATGAACTGTACAGCAAAATCTATAAAAATGTATCGCCGATTGCCGCCAATTAACCAACATTGCATAAAATATAATAAAAATAACTAACACGAAACAAAATGTAAAATTATGAACTCGTTACTGATTGAAGTTGGGAGGTTTTCACATAACAAGTAAAAAACTTTTATTTTTCTGACTGCAATTTTTTTATTAAAAAAAGATGAATAATTTATTACAAAACCGTTCTGCACAATATTTTTTGCAGTAAATAAATAAATATTGAAATTGAAAATTGAAATTTTCATTCAAATAAATGCTTTATTGACACCAAAGAAATCTTTATAGACCGATCGAAATAACTCATTTAGAGAGAAAAAAAGAAAATTATTACCTGGATTTTTATAAGTGGAAATGGTAAAGGGGCTTATAATAAATAAAATAAAAATAAATGAGTGAGCAGGGGCGGCGGAGGGTTGATTTGGGGTGGGGGGGTTGAAAAATTGCATCATTGGGATTTCTGGCGAAAGTTGACGTCAAACAAAAAAGTATCCAATATAAAAGTTGTACATCATGCAAAAATCTACAAGTTTTGTAGAGATCACTTTTTAAGATAACCCCAAAATTTCCGAGAAAATTGCGAAAAACAGGTTTGTTTCTGATTTTTCGTTTTTTGTTTCTCATTTTCGCAAAAATATTTTAATTTTGACGAAACTTGGTAAAAGTATACCTTTGTGTTTTTAGATAAAATATATAAAAGTTTCCGAGATATTCATTTTTACCGGTATGAAACACTTTTTTTTCAAAGAAAAATTCTACTTAGAAAAATCATCGTACAGAGTTCTGCCATTGATCATTTTTTTCGTTTCTACGTATACTTTTTGGTGAAATAAAAAAATCTGTAATCACAATTCAAAAACATGCTCAAAAATGTAAAAAATATAAAAAATTACTTGCAGCAATTAAAATTTCGGGTTTTCCGGTCAACTTTTCAGTTAATATACTTTTTATTGCTGAAATATCAAATCATGGAGAGTTAATTTATCATTTGTGCATTTGTAATTCGACTTAGATGTTTATAGCAATACTGTACAAAATAAAGTTTTGGGTCAAACAATGAGACACAGTTTATTTATATATTTTTCCATGAATTGAAAGGTGTAATCAGTTTTTGAATTTTTTTTTTAATTTAAACAAATTACCAACAATTACTGGAAAAATTTTTATTTCACCAAAAAATATATGTCAAAACGAAAAAAATGATCACTGGCAGAAAAAATGTATATTTCGGAAACTTCTTGTTATTTTTACATAAAAAAAATGTGGTTATTTAAGACAGAAAGGTATACTTTCACCAAGTTTCGTCAAAATTAAATGATTTTTGCGGAAATGAGAAAGAAAAAACGAAAAATCAGAAGAAAACCTGTTTTTCGCATTTTTCTCGGAAATTTTGAGGTTATCTTAAAAAGTGACTTCTACAAAAGTTGTAGATTTTTGCATGATCTACAACTTTTGTATTGGATACTTTTTCGTTTGACGTAAGTAAACCTTCGCCAGAAATCCCAATGATACAATTTTTCACAACTTTACAACCCCCCAATCCAAATCAACCACCCCTGCTCACGCATTTATTTTGTTTTAGGTTTATTACAAGCCCTTTCACCATTTCCACTTATAAAAAGTCCACGTAACAATTTTTTTGGTTTGGACTATTAATACAACAAATGCAAATACAAATTTTATTTGTCTCAATTAAATCGTTTCCTTAGCGTACTAACATTAAATCCGGCTTAGATTATATACGTTGGTGTTAAAAGCTGTTTAATAAGGTAACTGTTAAATTTTACTCCAGATCTATTAATAGAAAGTGCGAAAATTCAAGGAATGAAATTCGATAAAATGGCGAAGGCGCCAATGTTTTGCGAAATTAACAAATTAAATTTGAAAACGGCTTTATGTGACACTCTATTAATTATATAGGGTGCTTTGATAACTGCATTTAAAACTTCTATTTAAACTTTAATCTACTTAAATTCACTTCAAAACAGTTTGTTACATCGAATTGAACCAACGAAATGGTACTTTTCATGTATTAGTCCATTGTTTGCGACGATAGTCAATCCTTTCCAGTATCTACGCTATGTAGGTAGTAATTAAGATAATGCTGATCACTAGAAATAATAAACTAACTTCCAAAGGAATGAACTTAACTGAAAATACAAAATTTCAGAGGTTTTATGACATGTGGAATCTCACAGTGCTACGCTTTTTGGCGAGAAACCCCCTTAAGACACCTTTTCGTTGAGCCCCTTGTCTTTGGAAGCAGAAAAATTTGGTCGCAAATTTGATTATTTTAAAAATTATTAGTTGGCAAGAAAGCCATTGAATTTAGAAACTTTTTTGTCTTTTGATATTTGTTTCGTAAAACGCAATATTTTTGAGGAAAATGGCGAATCACGATATGCATTCGATCACATTTTAACATTTTTCTCGAAAACATTGCTTTTTACGAAAAAAGTATAAAGAGACAAAAAATTTCTAAATTTAATGGCTTTCTAGTGGAATGATAATTTTTAAGAAATTTTAAATATGCGACCAAATTTTGTTGGCTCCAAAGACAAGGGGGCCCACGAAAAATTATCTTAAGGGGGTTCCCCGCCAAAAAACGTAGCACCATCAGATTCCACATGTCATAAAACCCCTGTGTACCAAATTTAGTGATACTCGTACAACAGGATTCTGATATAATGAGAAGATTATTCTTAGGGGCGGACTTCAAGGGGCTGTAATTCCGAAAGAGAGGGCTACTTGGCAAAAATAAAAAATACGGGTCCCCTAAATTTGTCTTAAGAATCTGGACCAAATTTTGTTGCATGAATTTCGGGACACCCTGTATTGTAATAATTATTATCAGGATGTTAATGGTAAGTTTTGCCAAACTTTAATGGCGTATTCTACCGATGAAAATAAGTAACTTTTGCCCTAATTTTTGATAGGACGCTTCCCTACGGAGATACAGGGTGTTAAAAGTTTTACATATTTATATGATTTTTCCTGTAAACTAAACTGGCAAAAAATATTTAGTGATAAAATTTTGGGGATGACATCTTTTTAGTAGGGACTATTTTTTTCATGGATAACTTATTCCAAAATACACTCCAGTGGCGTAGTTATTGGAGAAGTAGGGGACCTTTTTTTAAAAAAAAATCGTACGCCACTGGTTTTTTAAATAATTTTAAATGTTTTTAAAAAGTACAATCAATTTGTGGCAATAAAGTATTCTTGTAAAGTATTCATAAAATTTACTGGTCTTTAAATATTTGAGAAATCAAATGAGAGGGTTTGCTAGTACCTACGTTGCTATTTATCATTTTCTATTGTTTGCTAAATGTGAAACGATAAAT